CTTGCCCCGCGGAACTAGGCCGTGGGCTCATCAATATTCATGACGGTATTCCTTTGTGGAACAGTTCCCACGCTATCTATGACGCCATTGGTTGAGATTTTGACCTTTGACGTCATAGATAGGGGTCATATGCTAATCGCTTTACTACGTCTGCCGATTTTTTACTACGGAGAGTTCTATGGCAATATCATCACCCCCAAATTATGAGACATGAAAGAAATTCGAGAATGTTGCGTTAATTTAACGTGTGTCAAGAGTCTTCATGTTTGTAATTCCGAGTTCTGGCTAAAGAGGAGTAACCCTATCTTCAAGAGCAAGGACAGATTCTGTAATTTTTGTGGATTTACATCTCAAGAAAAATGTGCCCCTATTGAAGATTATCAGGAAGATGAGGTAAATGACCACTTATATTCACATGGATCTAAACCACTCTTTCCTGAACATGATTTGGATGTTCTGTGTTACTACAAATACTAACTAAGGCAAAAGAAAACCTTCAACAAAAGGAGATATAAAAGAAATACTTTGAATGCTGTTTTTTATATGAACAGATTGAATTTGAAATTCTACATACATCAGACATTTAGATATCCACCTAAGAACACAATTGAATTTACTATCCGGACACTTTTAACCAAATATCTGAGTGGATTTTGGGAAAAGTATAATGAACTTGGTGCTTGTTTTTGTGTGTGTTATTCATAATAATGTTTGTGTCAGGTCATTTGAATGAACATAGTCGCGTTGCTCAGGGTTTGCCTGCCAAGGAAGGAAGAATAAAACAGTTGTTGTTTTGGTGGTCCTAAAAAGAGCAATCTTACATTACTCATATTGCCATATTTACCCACACCAATATTGTGGAAAATCTTGCTTCAAATTTGAACTATATATGGACACAACAGTCTTTACAACATGTAACTTTTCATGATGACTCAGTTGAACGTATCTGTGGGAACAGCTACATGATGTACCAATTTGCAATTATTTCCCATGAAGGATTCAAGATTAAATTTCCCGTTCTCTTCTAGACGATCCTGTTGACCTATGGGGTGTTGGTCATGTGGTGGAAATGGATGCAAGTAAATGGGTGAGGAAGAGAAAGTACAACATGGGTTCCAGTCAGGGCATTAGAAACTTTTGGATCTTTGGCCTTACAGATAGGCAAAGTAAGAAGGTTCTGCTTTTTATCCCCCCGGCATATAATGCGGGGAGATATAGCGATCAGCCAGTCTGTCTGTCCGTCCGTCCGTCCGTCTGTCCGTCCGTAATCATTTCCTTTTCCGGGGCAGAATTCCCAAACCATTCAGTGTATTTGATCGAAACTTGGCAAAGCTATCAGGCACATACTGAAGTGGTGCCTTTTGATATTTTGGGATTTTTTAAATTTTTATTTTTTAAAATTTTTATGGAATGAAGTTGGACAGAGACTTAATTGGGGATGGGGTTCTTTTCCGGGGCGGAATTCGAAAACCATTCAGTGTATTTGATCGAAACTTGGCATTCATATGGATGCGACCATGGTTTGATCTTTTGTGGGTAAACAATGAAGGCTTCTTAAAGAACATTAAACTGTTGACTCATTACATACAGAATTGCACATTTACTAGTGGTTACTTTACAGAAAGCTGCCGGGGGGATATGTCATCTTTCTGATGACTCTTGTTAATGTTCATGACAGAACAACAGACACCCTATTGCCAATAACCATTGCCCATGTTGAAGTCGGTACACAAATAATTACTGATGAATTCAAATCCTATATTTGTCTGTAGGGGCAGGGTATGAACATGACACTGTAAAACACAAGGATGGTTATGTGAACCCCAAAACTGGGGCCCATACTAACTCCATTGAAGGATTTGGGGGCAATGCCAAGGCAAAGTTTAAGTCAATGCATGGTGTCTGAAGAGAACAGTTAGCTGCTCATCTTGATGAGATTATGTTCCGATTGAACAACAAGAATGAATGTTTACCCTCATACTTGGCCTTATGAACAAATACTACACATTTGTATGAATATTTGAATGAATCAAACCAATTTGATCAATCCTGATCTCTTGATGAGAATGTAATCTATTGATTATCTCATTTATAAATTTGCCCATTGTGCTTCGCACATTTGTTTGGAAATATAGAAATGTTTCCATCAAATTCACATGAACATAGCATCAGTTATTGTGGCACTGTTACCCTTTACACTGTTTGTTATGTTCTTGACATTTCAAACATATCATGAAGGACATATGTATGCATAACATTTCCTGTCAACAGTTTGACAGATTTCTATTCATCATCTGTGCAGATGATTCAAGTTGCCTAAATTGTGTTTCCAGTATTCAGTGTGAAATATGAGACTGTTTGCATCAATATCAAACTCAATCATTGCGATAATCATGACAGAGTGCAGAATCATTGTTCGTTGTTTTGTTTTTAAACTGTTATTCTTAAACGTTCCCAAGATTGACATGTTATATGCTGGTGTTGCACAGATTGCCACTGATAATATGTCAGATATTTCCTGTTTAAATAGTTCTTGTGAAACTAACCGTGATAGAAATGACATGTGTGGGTGAGTGTTTCATAAATAAATTTTCATTACCCTGATTACGATTTTGTTCCCATTAAAATACCCACACTGGGTATTTTGTTTGTGACATTATTGAATTTGTTACGTTTCTATATGATTAAAATATTTGTGGAAGATAAATATCAATGTGTATTGAGGACACTGACGTGTGAGTTCATATTTGAAAAGATAAAATGAAACAGAGTTCCCATCAGAAGCTGCTATTGTGATAACTAATACTAAATGATCTGAATGACAATGTTATATTGCTACTGATGTCACATGTTTGGATGAAATGATATGCTGAGTCTTTTTGTTTTGTTATGAATTAATAAATTATGAATGTTTGCGAGATCATTTGTCATTCTTTTTCATAACTACGGTTCCATTACTTCAGTCAATAGATTAGTTTTAATATGGTGAAATTTGTTGATTTACTGAATTTTTCAAATGTGGGCCCACCCATCAGAATCTCTATAGAGATAAAAAAAAAGTGGGCCCACATTTCTGTTTTCACTCTATTGCCTTGTTTTGAAGGTTAGATCATTTGTCTTTCTGTTTTATAACTACGGTCAAAATAATTTTTTTAATGGTAAGAATTGTAATGATTTACACATTTTTTCAAATGTGGGCCCACTCAGAAAAAACTCTATAAAAGATTAAAAAAAGTGGGCCGACATTTCGGTTTTTGATTTTGGTGCCTAAAGTTTTGTTGGCGAGATCATTTGTCATTCTTTTTCATAACTACGGTTCCATTACTACAGTCAATAGATTAGTTTTAATATGGTGAGATTTGTTGATTTACTGAATTTTTCAAATGTGGGCCCACCCATCAGAATCTCTATAGAGATAAAAAAAGTGGGGCCACATTTCTGTTTTCACTCTATTGCCTTGTTTTGAAGGTGAGATCATTTGTCTTCTGTTTTATAACTCTGGTCAAAATAATTTTTTTAATGGTAAGAATCGTATTGATTTACACATTTTTTTAAATGTGTCCCCACTCAGAAAAATCGCTATAAAGATATAAAAAAAAGTGGGCCCACATTTCAGTTTTCATTCGTGATGCATACAGTTTCGTCGGTGATATCTCCAATTATCTACAATTAATTACATGATTAGGACTATGAAATGGCCTACCTTACATGTCTCAGATTTTTGTTCCGAACCACAAGATGCTCAGTGTTTCAGTACGAAAGTCCCACCGAAATGTGGGCCCACATCTGTTACCCTCCAATAACCAGCTAGTAAGTGATCCACAATTCAGTAATGTTGACAAAAACTTGTAACAATCGTGAGGCATACTACCGTTGTTCGTATTGGTGGGAATGATTCACTAAATGGAATACCCTGTGCAGTTTTAATGATGAACCGAGTGACAGGCGGAACAGATTATCACTTTCACAGCGCCATGTTTTTTCTCGGATACGTTACTAAACAGCATAGCTCCAGTGTATATTTAGAGTTAGCTCCCTTCAACACTCGAACCACTGATAATGCGGTTTCGCCTGGCTAACTGTAAAGGGTTCGTGGCAAGACATAACACAACATTCAAACTCACACATACCAGAGGTATGACAAGAGGCTAAAGATGGAACCTCAGTTCCGCCAAAGTGACAATGTATGTATCAACCTTGTTGCACTGGTAATCATACCATAGGGTGATAGTACAAATTCAGATACTTCATCAGATGAGTTAGATGCCGGCTAAAGACATCATCCGAAGAACAACACATACTTCTTCGCTAAAACCCCCCAACCCTTCCAATACTTTTCCCGTTTCATAGCTTTTAACTATTCAATATTTTTTCCAAGCAAATTTAATGAAGTACATATTTAATTGCTACCCCGTCAACACATATCTCAATAAAGTACAATAACAACACTATTTTAGACCACCTCAAAGGTCTATAGGCCCTTTTAGTGCATGACAACACACGAATAAAAGTTTATAATCATTTAGTGCTTGACAAAACACGAATAAAAGTTTATCGTCATTTAACCTGTAAAAGTACATTTTACGGCTAATCACCGCCTCCGTTAGGATAGGCTAGATTAGGTACATCTTATACATTATGTTATATTTTCATAGCGCTATGATTCTTATTGATTTAAATGAAGCTGGAAAAACATTTTTCTGGCATTTCCGACATTACTTTGGCAATATACTCTATTTAGTTAATATCCATTCAGATCAACGCTGTAATCCTTACTGTGGATCTGACTTCTTAATGTGTGTCCTCCTTGTTATCCATTACCTGTTGTTGTTAGCGTTAATCTGATGCCTATCAAAACATATCATGTATAAATACCTTTGCTTGCTTGTAGTCACCAAGGACGTTAGAATCAACATGGAAACGTTGCAATATACAATAAACCAGAATTTGTTATCCATAAAGTTATATGTTTTCATAACGTATTTCAGAAACAGGATGTTTGCAAGTTCAGGTGCACTCTCTCAAACGATCATTCTACTGCTGTTTTGCTGTGACATGCAGTGTGACGGTGTCATCACTCATCACTTTTTAATAGGCGGCAGGAATGCCACATTTCCAAAGGTTTATTTGAAAAGACTTGGTGTTGTGGATAAACTACAGTGTTTCCTACACTGCTCCCAATACACGGGATGTCGCCGCGTTGGAGTCTCCACAGTCGGGGAATGTTTTTTATTCGCTGAATCCAACAGAACACTTCCTGATGAATCTATTAATACAGGCTACCTCTACAGTTCACTCGTGGCAGGTAAGTACCTAAAAGCGAACAATATCCTGCTACAGAGTCAATTGTACGATTCCTAATATAGCATACGAATGTGTTTCTGAATCATCATTAAACAAGGATGGTACCAGGTATTTTGCTAAAAAGTGTATCCTGCTCCATCGGGGTCGGCCGTCACAAACACATGCAAATTCAAGTCAATGGTTCGTTTAAAAAAGGCACGGAGACGTAAGTCAAACTAGGGAATTGTATCGCTACAACTCGTACAGTTAACACAGTCGAAGGTGGTAATATGAGAGTGAGTATATTCATGCGATATCACGATAAAGGACACCAGAAATGGGCTTCACATATTGTACCCATGTAGGGAGATGGTAATGTACATGTAGGCGGATGTATGTATTCAACACAGTTTGTGAGGTTTAAGGTTCAATAAATATTCAGTATGAACTTGCAGAGGGCTGTTTGAATCTGCAATGAATTGACAGTGCCTGTGGGATGGTGCATTCTGTGATATAACATTACCATTACCATGGAAACGGCGGATGTCAGTTTTGAATATTTGATAAATAAATATATGTAAGTAAATATGTACATATTACTGCATAAACCGGAAGGTCCAGACTCATTATGTGATAACAAAGTATATATCAGTACTGAATCTGTGATAACAAAGTGCATGTCAGTACTGAACGAGTAATAACTGTACATGTCAGTACTGAATCTGTGATAACAGTGCATGTCAGTACTAAACGAGTGATAACAGTGTACATGTCAGTGACAGTGCATGTCAGTACTGAACGAGTGATAACAGTGTACATGTCAGTGACAGTGCATGTCAGTACTGGAAGAGTGATAACAGTGCATGTCAGTACTGATCGAGTGATAACAGCGTATGTCAGTACTGAATCTGCGATAATAGTGCAAAGCAGTACTGAACGAGTGATATTTGTGCATGTCAGTACTGAACGAGTGATATTTGTGCATGTCAGTACTGAACGAGTGATAATAGTGCATGGTAGTACTGGACGAGTGATAACAGCGTATGCCAGTACTGAAGTTGCGATAACAGTGCATGGCAGTACTGAACGAGTGATAACAGCGTTTGTCAGTACTGAATCTGCGATAACAGTGCATGTCAGTACTGGACGAGTGATAACAGTGCATGTCAGTACTGAACGAGTGATAACAGTGCATGTCAGTACTGGACGCGCGATAACACTGCATGTCAGTACTGGACGAGTGAAAACAGTGCATGTCAGTACTGGACGAGTGATAACAGTGCATGTCAGTACTGGACGCGTGATAACACTGCATGTCAGTACTGAATGAGTGATAACAGCGTATGTCAGTACTCAACAAGTAAAAACAGTGCATGTCAGTACTGGACAAGTGATAACACTGCATGTTAGTACTGGACAAGTAATTACAGCGCATGTCAGTACTGGACAAGTGATAACAGTGCATGTCGGTACTGGACAAGTGATAAAACTGCATGTCAGTACTGGACGCGTGATAACAGCGCATTTCAGTACTGGACGAGTGATAACAGCGCATTTCAGTACTGGACGAGTGATAACAGCGCATGTCAGTAATGGACGAGTGATAACAGCGCATGTCAGTACTGGACGAGTGATAACAGTGCATGTCAGTACTGGACGCGTGATAACAGTGCATGTCAGTACTGGACGCGTGATAATAGTGCATGTCGGTACTGGACGCGTGATAACACTGCATGTCAGTACTGGACAATTGATAACACTGCATGTCAGTACTGGACGCGTGATAACAGTGCATGTCGGTACTGGACAAGTGATAACACTGCATGTCAGTACTGGACGAGTGATAACAGCGCATGTCAGTACTAGACAAGTGATAACACTGCATGTCAGTACTGGACAAGTGATAACAGCGCATTTCAGTACTGGACGAGTGATAACAGCGCATGTCGGTACTGGACGAGTGATAACAGCGCATGTCAGTACTGAACATTGATAACAGTGCATGTCAGTACTGAACGAGTAATTACAGCGTATGTCAGTACTGAACAAGTGATAACAGAGTAAGTCAGTACTGAACGTGTGATAACAGAGCATGTCAGTACTTAACAAGAGTCATCAGAAAGATGGCATATCCCCCCGGCAGCTGTCTGTAAGGTAACCACAAGTAAATGTGCAAATCTGTATGTAATACAAGAGTTGAATGTTCTTGAAGAAGCATACATTGTTTACCCACAAAAGATCCACCATTGTCGCATCCATATGAAATGGAAAGTAAAATAAGTGTGTTTCTGTGGTTTTTTTAGCGCAAACAAATGACAAATTACAAGAAACATTCACTAAACAAGCGTATAGTCAACGAAATCATCTATATCCCCCGCCCATTTTAACACGTTATGGTCCCAAACCAGGTAACTGACCCAACATTTCTCTTAGCCCATGTCAAAATAGTTGCAATGGATATTCTAAAATAAACATTTCTAAAACTCCTTAATATCAAATGGCACCAGTTCAGTATGTGCTTTATATATAGACATGCAATGGTTGGCAAGGAAATAGTTAACAGTTTATTTGTTATACTACATAAGTGAACCCTTCCTATATTAAACTTAAATCCAACTTGTTGCAATGGAAACGTAAAATGAAGAAAAATATATAATTCCTACCTAAATAACAAAAGGCACCAGTTCAGTATGTGCCTGGAAGACATGCAAAGTTTTGAAATAAAGTATTTAACGGTTTTTGTGTTACGCTCCGGAAACGAACACCACCCTTATAGAACCTAAGTCCAACTTGTTGCCATGGAAACGTAAAAAATAAAAATTCCTAAAATTCCTAAATAGCAAAAGGCACAACTTCAGTATGTGACCGGTAGACATGCACAGTTTTGTAAGAAAGTTTTAACGGTTTTTGAGTTACGCTCCGGAAACGAACACCATCCTTATAGAACCTAAGTCCAACTTGTTGTCATGGAAATGTAAAAAATATTAATTTCTAAAATTCCTAAATAGCAAAAGGCACAACTAGATTTGCCAAGTTTCGATCAAATACACTGAATTGTTTTCGAGTTCGTTATATGCCGGGGGGGATAACACGTGATAACTGTGCATGTCAGTACTGAGAGAGGGATAACACAGGATATATTAGTATTGAATCTGTCATAATATTGTACATTTCACAATTGAATGAAATCAGTTAAAGCATTGCGCGAACACGTGGTATCATCACTGTTTGATGTTAATTTATAAACAAATGCACATGATATACTCGGAATCCTACAGTTGACGCTGCTTTTGGGTCCGATTTCTCATGAATATATATTGAAGGCTTTTATTTATTTGAGACAAATGTTTATCTGAAATAAAAGGAGGACATTCCTGTTCACAAATGTACTGCACTGAAGTACGAAAGTGTATCTTACCTGTCCTACTAGTGACATGGAGATATCGTATATTGCAGGTTTGACCACACAAGAACAGAACAGCACCATAAGTGATGCTAGACAGAGGTCCACGTCATCAATGAACACAAGACAACAGACGATGAGAGCCACAGAAGCCCACAGCAGCAGCAGCAGCAGCAGCAGCAGCAGCAACCCTGTGAGTCCTGCGACTGCGAACACTGAGACCACGACGACCTCGAAATCCAGCAATACGAGCAATGGCACAGAGGATAGAACCCCAGATATCACACACAGCAAGGCCATCACGCCCTCCAGCAATTCGAGCACAGAGGATAGAACATCAGACATCAGACAGAGCAAGGCCACCACTCACGCCAGCATTACAAGCACTGGACCAGACCTCAGTGGGAGCCAGGCCACCACGCCCCCCAGACCATCACCAGGTAGTTTATACGACAGATTGAACTGTAATGTTATGTAAGATATGAGTGCCGCAGAATCCTTCTATTGTGCTCACTGAGTTGGTCTGATGTATTCAAGATAACGTGTTTTCAGATTTGCATTTTTAGTGTCTTTAATAGCATAGCATATGTATCGATATTGTAAATATAACTTTCAATGTATATTTGAGCAAAATAAATACTTGAAAAGAAGTCATTCGCGACGTCATACTGCAACATCATTAGAGTAGAATGATAACGAAAAGAAACGAATATGGGACATTGTTTGTCAACTATAGTACGGCTGTCTGTACAAAATAAAATCTGGAACAGACAATCCAATGATTGACATCATGAACATCTATCTACGCATTTGGGATCCGATGACATGTATCAACCAAGTCAGAGAACCTGACCACCCAAACATGTTAGTCGCTGAGACATAAAAGTAGACTTAGTAAAATTCTGTATTCTGTTCAGGTTTAATATGAAAAGGGATCTTACCCGTAAGCTTGTCGTTAAATGCCGCCGTCAGGTAATCTGAAAAAGCCGTGGTTGTTCTTTGTGCGTCCTTCATCTCAGCGCTCAGCAACATCCCTGCCACCAAACCAAAGTGAACCCTATACACCAGTGATCGATATTCTGAGCAACGATCCCAGACTTCGGGATATGATGGCACGCAACCAACCATCTATCGATCAACTACGGCACCCTTTTTTTTAGACACGTGAAGATCCAGGGTAGAATAAGTCTTCAACAACAGCTCTTAAAGGCGGCTATGCTTGTCGTAAAAGGCGACTAACGGGATCGGGTGGTCAGGCTCGCTGACTTGGTTGATGCGTGTCAATGTATCTCAGTTGCGTGGTTCGATGCTCATGACATCAATCACTGGATTGTCAGGCCCAGGCTCGATTATTTACAGATAGCCATAATCCAGGTGTATGACGGCAAAGTACGGCGTTAAACAACAAACAAACAAAACTTAACACCCTTTTTTATACCTTTCAGGTGACGCTTTTATCAAGAGTGTCTATACCATCGTGACGCAAACCGGTACCGAGAAAGATAGTGGCACGGCGTGCTTTGTATACGTGGACCTATATGGAGAGACAGGTGGTAAAGAAACGTTGTATCTCGATAACCCAGGGGATGAAATGTCCGAAGGTTCTAATGATACTTTTACAGTAAGTATTTAAACACACACGAACACTGCAGAGAGCCTGCTTTAAGTGGGGATAGCATATCTGTCTTGTCATTGTCTATGAATATATAGTTTGACCTAAAGCTATTGAGAAGGATTGTTTGGTTGGTTTGTTGTTTTACGCCACACTCAGCAATATTCCAGCTATATGACGGCGGTTTATAATCGAGGGATCGAGGGATCGATGAAACGCATCAACCAAGTCAGGGAGCCTGACCACCCGATCCCGTTAGTCACCTCCTACGACAAGCATAGTTGACTTTAACGGCAAGCCTGGGTTGCTGAAGACCAATTCTACACCGAATCTTCACGGGTCCTATTGAGAAGGAGAACATTCTAACTTATACATTTACTACGTTAGAAACCAAGATATAAGTTTGTCCAACAAACAATGCTTTCCTGAAGCTCCAAAACAGCAACATATTTTGTACATATTTTTGTAAATGTAATGGTTCAACGCGACGAGGCACACTACCCTGCATTCATATCACATATATTTTGTTTTTTTTAATTGATATTGTCATTCGTGACTCCCTAAATAATTTTAATTTGGGTTAAGGTCCGTACTGTAACTGGGCCATTCAAGTAGTGTAACATTTTTAATCGTTAAGCCATTCCGGAGAATGACTCGCTTTGAATGATGTTTTGGATCATTGTCTTGCGGAAATACCCACCCATCACCATACAAAACTTGTGATTTTGGAAAGAGATGTTCCTGTAAAATATCAGTGTTCACTGCACTTGTCATGTTACATTTAAATACAAATAATGGTGTGGCACCCAAAACAGACATCACACACACACACACACACACACACACATACACGCAAAGCCCCCCTCCCCCTACAAACACACCCATAAAATTTAGGACTGTACTTTGAATCTTTGCTTTTACGGTACCTTTTGTACAGTATTGATATAGCTACACTGAGTGAGTGAGTGAGTTGGGTTTAACGCCGCTTTTAACATTATTCCAGTTATATCACGGCGTGTCAGCTTAATGTGGGTTGAAAGCCCGGAGTGATGCAGGTCTCAGACGTTTACCACTTCGGTGAAACCCACGAGCACGGGTATGGTGCTGACAAACCTAAAACATTATCGGGATGAACCGGGATTCGAACCCACAATCATAGGTTTCTGGCGCGTCCAGGAGACGCAACTCTGCACAGCGAATCGCGGCGCCTTAGACGACTGGGCCATCCGTGCCCCCTAGCTACACTGAACTTTCATATGAGAACATATGAGAATGTAATTTCTTCCTGGTGAGGTGATAGTCATGGCATTCCTCGTGATTTCTGCCAATCCATTGCATCCAAATGCGTTCTTAATTTCTATTCCTTTATCTAATATACCAAGTCGCCTTCTGTCACCAACAATCAAGTTACTGGGCATACCTGCTCCCTCTCTGTTCCATCTACACTCTCAAAAGTTTTCAAAACACGGCACACAGTTGATAGTGGAATGTCTGTTCTCACTGTAATGGCCTGTGCTCATCTAATTCCTTGATTGTATAATTCAGAAATATTCTTTAATTTTTCCAAAGCTGCCATTTTCACAATGGTCTAGTTTGCCGTATGCTAGCTTGTTCACCAAGGGAGACAACACTGGTCATACTTTCCAATTATTTATAAAAGAATAAGTTCTACATACACCTTTGATAACTATTGGTGGCCACAATAGTGTGAATAATTCTGAATAATTTATGGTCAATTTATAGAAGTGAAGGCCCAGGTACTATCGAGGGTACAATCTTTCTACGAAGAGTGCCATAGGACTTTTGCTGTCTATTCCGTCATTTCACATCGTTTGAGACACAATCGAGAATGCTCTTTCTGCAAAGATTTCAAAGACGTCGTCATGTTTGGTATTTGATCAGGGTTACAATATTCAAGGGATACGCAAGACATAAGCAAAGCAAAGTTTTATTTTAGACATGTGGAGGATATCATCACTGTTTGATAGTGATTCCTAAATACAAGTTCATGATAAAGTAGGAATCGTATAATCGACTATGTTTTCAGCAGATACTTTTTGTGAATATGAAACATATTTTTGTTGCTATTATTTACATCATAATCCAATCCAGAGAAGAAACCTACTTGGCTTACTGGATCCGTCAGGTGTGTATGAACGATTATCTCAACAAGGAGAAGATACCATGCGACCATCATTATAGTCAATAAAAATGGTAACCTGGCAACCAGCATGATATGCATTGCTGCTGGAATCCTGATTACCGAGTTATTTTTCAGACGCACAGTTTTGAAAAATGATCGCTGTGCGGTCGTGGGGCACTGAGAGTACCTCTGACTTTTACAAGTTAGCGGAGTTGTATATTATTGAATTTTCTACCCCATGAGGAAAAATTAAAGACTGCTTGTAAATAAAAAAAAGTGTAGAATGTTGTCCAAGTTTCTTCATCGCTTAAGGAAAATACCTTTAACATGTAGTCACTTCTTATCGTACATCGATAAAGTCCCGTGAGACGAATTTGTATGTTTGACACCATTATATAAACTATGAGCAAACAAAATACTGCCTTATATCTGAACGACATAATCGCATATATATTATGATTATATGGTTATGTATAACGTGACACATTCGATACGAAAACGGCCAAATTGATTAATATCCATCTTTCTTCAGTTTACCAGGTCAAGTGATCTTGGAAACTTCACAAAGATTTTTGTGGAAGAAAGTGCTGACATACGATTTGCTTTTTTCAAAATACAGCTACCCCATGCACATGGAGCAACTGTATTGAGAAAGACTCGAAATATATAAATATCATTTTCTGCATACCAGCCTTGTCTCATTTGTGGTTAATAGAATTATGCAACTTTATGCCTTTCACTTCTGCCATGCAGGAGCTCCAGATACACTTCCTCCTGTTTTCTTTCACATGCATAAATACACTTAAATAGCATCATGATTATGCATTTCTGAGGCAAAACATATAGAGGTGAATCGCCGTGTTCTTGTACTTGACATATTGTGGTTTTTGTCCCAAAATAGCGGGACAAGAGTCTGGAAAGAGCTAGATGTTTTGCGTACGTCTACTGTGGCCAATGGTGCTAAATATTAAAACCCTGCGGTTGAAAGGAATGACCCTGTTCCTCAATTTGATTGATTAATGTCCATTTTTCTTCAGTTTATCAGGTCAAGCGATCTTGGAAACTTCACAAAGATGGTGCTGAGAGTTGGCAAATTTGGTCTAAGGCCTGGATGGTTAGTTGTTGGGGTGAGCGTCCAGGTTCATTATTGACTACTTTCCGTGGATGAAACAACTCACATGAGACGAGTGTAACCATTCTGGGCCCCGTTTCAAAAGTCACTCCGAATCGACCAGTCCTTGTTTTAGCTCCTTAATTAGGAGCGGAGGAAGGGTAACAATAAGTATAATCTTTTAACGTCTTTTGGTATGACGCGGCCGGGTATCGAACACCGAACTTCCGCTCTCCGTTCTACCACTAGACCACGGAGGCGGTATTGGTAACACAAGACATGCTCAAGGTTTTTGCGAACATCGGTCTCGTCGTTGATTTTTAGACCAGTGAAGATTCCGGGGTAGAATAGGTCTTCAGCAACCAATACTTGCCGTAAAAGGCGACTATGCTTGTCGTAAAAGGCAATTAACGGGATCGGGTGGTCACGCTCGCTGACTTGGTTGATACATGTCATCGATCCTAATTGCATGGATCGATGCTCATGACGTCAATCACTGGTTTGTTTGGTCCAGACTCGATTATTTACAGACCGTCGTCATATAGCTGTAATATTGCTGAGTGCGGCGTTTAACAACAAACAAAACAAACAAACTGATTTTCAGTGGTCCATTCATATGGTTTTCAACACAGTTTTACCTTTTGCGCCTGGAAGAATCTGTTTCGGCACATTATCGAGACTGGTTGGTTTCTGGCGTTGACGCTTTCTTTTCATATTATGTGAATGACGGGTGCTGCCGGATGAGAAGGACACACTTTGTAATGCCAATATTTTCGGATTCGGGAGCCAACTCCCCATCAGAATACATGTTCAAAGATTTCAGCTCCTCTCGGTACAAAATCACCCCGGGATCTTGAACTGTACCCTTTATGCGAACACCTGGTGTCGTGATGTATTTTCAGTGGTCCATTCATCTGGTTTTCATCACTGTTTGGCCTTGTTGTTTTCTGGCGTTGACGTTCTGTATTTCTTTACAGGTGGAGGTAGGGCGTAAGCGTACCTACGAGCGACACGAAACCACTGACATATATTACACTTATATCAACCAGTGGTTCCAGAGAATGGATGGGTGGCATTTCTTCGAATTTGCAGAAACTAAATTTGTAATGAATTACACCATGATGTCCACGTTCACCACAGAATACTGATAGGTATTGTGTATGCAATCTATGTAATCTCGAAAAATGGAAAATGGTTAAGCGAACAGTGTATTAGTGTAAGTAGCCTTAATTCCAATAGTTTTCCATAGTAAACGCAACCCTGACCTTGAAAATGTACTGTTTGAGAACAATAAAGCTTGCAAAAAGGTATTTTAGCATAGTTTCTAAAAACGTCTTAACCCTCATGTTGATATATGGAGACCCGTGAAGATCCGGGTTAGAATAGGTCTTCAGCAACCCAAGCTTGTTGTAAAAGGCGACTGTGCTTGCGGTAAGAGGCGACTAACGGGATCGTGTGGTCACGCTCGCTGACTTGGTTGATACATGTCATCGATCCCAATTGCGTGGATCGATGCTCATGATATTTATCACTGGATTGTCTAGTCCAGACTCGATTATTTACAGACCGCCGTCTTATAGCTGGAATATTGCTGAGTGCGGAGTAAAACAATAAACCAACCAACCTACCCTCATGAGTTTTCACGAATACACGGGGATCCATTCCTATAATTGTCACCGTTGTTGTGTCTCTTACGTCCAGTGTAATCTACTTCGGCGGATAATCGACTGTGGATATTCTCTGGCATTGACTTTTTACATTTACTTGAACTGGGTCAATGTTTCTGCTGGTGAGTTGATCTCCCCGCGTTTCACCAAGTCACACTACCGTTTATTAATTATGCGACAACAAAGACATGTTTGGGCCAAGAGGTTAAACTTGCCTCACCACTGTTACAAAACGAACATATTTCTTAAAGGTTTGTTTTTTTTCCTGACGGGCTGTAGACTCGCTGTACGTAATTCAAAATGTACGTTTTTAGTGTCAACAAAATCAATAAATGCGCTATTGTGTCACTGGATCTGCTGGTCCGTCATGCAAATTCGGATTGTGTGAGTGGTGGGTGCTACCTGTAGAGCAGGACAAGTGCACCCATTCGGCGAATACCTGGTGTCATCACTGATCATGATGTTCAGTGTTCCACTCACATAACTTTTACTGTCATTTTCCCTTATAACTACAGAGGAATCTTTAGGCGAATAACCGCGACTAGTTATTCTCTGGTGTTGATGTTATATATTTAGTCTCTGGTGTGGCCTTATATATTAAGTGTCTGGTGCTAATCTTATATATTAAGTCTCTGGTGTTGAGGTTATATATTTATTCTCTGGTGCTGATGTTATATATTTAGTCTCTGGTGTTGAGGTTATATATCTATTCTCTGGTGTTGATGTTATATATTTAGTCTCTGGTGTTGACGTTATGTATTTAGTCTCTGGTGTTGATGTTTTATATTTAGTCTCTTGTGTTGGCGTTATATATTTAATCTCTTTGTGATGATGATCTATGGTTACAAATCGCTCAGGTTTACTCAGCAAACTTCAGAGGAACCTTTAGGCGGATAACCGCGACTAGTTATTCTCTTGTGTTGATGTTATGTATTTAGTCTCTGGTGTTGACGTTATATATTTATTCAAAACGATATACATTTTCACGAACGAATAATTAACACGAATTTTTTTTAAAAGAAGCCTTGGAACCCACCTTTATCGTCCCTAGTTCATTCCTCAGAATGTTCTCAACTTTCTCATGAGAGATGCCCACTGTATTTGCTATTGGCGTGTGATTCGTCGATCATCCATAATCATATCATATATTTATCAACTAACGCTCACCTTTCACCGCTCACAACAGCCCATAGCCTAGTGGTTAAATCGTTCGCTAGTCACGCCGAAGACACATTTCTATTCCTACATGGATTTAATGTGTAAAGCCCATTTTTTGGTGTTCTCCGCTGTGATATTGCTGGAATATTGTTAAAATCGGCGAAAAACCATATACACTCACTACTACAACTTATTATTTAGAAATGCCGTAGCACCTATAACTGACAAAAACTGCCGTGGCACCAATCACTCAGTATAACCGCCGTAGCACCACTCCCTACTTAGAAGTGCCATAACACCAATAACTAACAAGAACTTTCGTAAGACCAGTCACTCACTACAACCGACGTAGCACCAATCACTCACTACAGCCGCCGTTGCACCAAACACTCATTACAACAAACGTAGCACCAATCACTCATTACAACCAACATAGCACCAATCACTCAATACACCCAACGTAGCACCAATCACTCACTACAACCGCCGTAGCACCAATCACTCAATACAACCGCCGTAGCACCAATCACTCACTCTCTCACTACAACCTCCGTAGCACCAATCACTCACTCACTAAAACCGCCGTAGCATCAATCACTCACTACAACCGCCGTAGCACGAAAAACTCACTACTACCAACGTAGCGCCAATCACTCACTACAACCGCCACCGTAGCACCAATCACTCACGCTTTCACTACAACCACCGTAGCACCAATCACTCACTCACTAAAACCGCCGTAGCATCAATCACTCACTACAACCGCCGTCGCACGAAAAACTCACTACTACCAACGTAGCGCCAATCACTCACTACAACCGCCACCGTAGCACCAATCACTCACGCTTTCACTACAACCACCGTAGCACCAATCACTCACTCACTAAAACCGCCGTAGCATCAATCACTCACTACAACCGCCATAGCACCAATGCCTCACTACAACCGCCACAGCACCAATCACTCACGACAACCAACGTAGCACCAACCGCCGTAGAACCAATCACGCACTACAACCGCCGTAGCACCAATCACTCACTACAACCGCCGTAGCACTAATCACTCACTACAACCAACGTAGCACCAACCGCCGTAGAACCAATCACGCACTACAACCGCCACAGCACCAATCACCCACTACAACCGCCGTTGCACCAATAACTCACTCACTCACTACAACCAACGTAGAACCAATCATGCACTACAACCGCCATTGTACCAATCAGTCACTACAACCGCCGTTCCACCAATCAGTCACCCACTACTACATCCGTCGTAGCACCACATTTATAAGAAGTGCCGTAGCACCTATTACTGACAAAAACTGCCGTGGCACCAATCACTCAGTATAACCGCCGTACCACCACTCCCTTAATAGAAGTGCCGTAGCACCAATCACTGCTAAGAACTTTCGTAAGACCAATCACTCACTACAACCGACGTAGCACCAATCACTCAATACAACCGCCGTTGTACCAATCACTCACGACAACCAACGTAGAACCAATCACTCAATACAACCGCCGTAGCACCAATCACTCACTACAACCGCCATAGCACCAATCACTCACTACAACCGCCGTTGTACCAATCACTCACGACAACCAACGTAGAACCAATCACTCAATACAACCGCCGTAGCACCAATCACTCTCTACAACCAACGTAGCACCAATCACTTACTACAACCACCGTAGCACCAATCACTCACTACAACCAACGGAGCACCAATCACTCACTCGCTAGAACCGCCGCAGGACCAATCACTCACTACAACCAACGCAGCACCAATTTCTCACTACAACCGCCGTAAATCCAATCATTCACTACAACCGCCGTGGCACCAATCACCCACTACAACAAACGTAGCACAAATCACTCACTCACTACAACCGCCGTAGCATTAATCACTCACTACAACCGCCGTAGCGCCAATCACTCACTACAACCGCCGTAGCACCAATCACTCGCTGCAAACACTGTAGCACCAATCATTCACTACAACCGCCATAATCTCAATCACTCGCTACAACCGCCATAGTACCAATCACGCACTACAAACACTGTAGCACCAATCAATCACTAGAACCGCCGTAGCACCAATCACTCGCTACAACCGCCGTAGCACCAATCACTCGCTACAACCGTCGTAGCACCAATCACTCACTACCACCGCCGTAGCACTAATCACTCACTACAACCAACGTAGCACCAACCACTAACTACAAACGTGGGAGCACCTTGCAGCTGCGTGAATTGGAAGACCCTCATCTACTAGAAGAAATACGGTAGTTTCTGAGACTTAAACCAACATATTGGTAGAGTATTTATGCCAATCCCTATCACCACTCTTATATAATGTCACCGAAACGGCATCAATAAACGTATTAATAACAAATTCAAAACTAATACAGATTAACGACTCATGGAAACATTCAAACCAAGTAAACTGTAATTGACCCAAACGAGAAAAACACATTTAATATTGACGGAGCATTATGTTTACTCGCTCCTAAAGGCCGTGTAGGTTTTGTTATTTGAAGAACCAACATCTACCTGGAAGACAAATATAGCAATATGAAGGAACCCATCGTTTTGTGAATAATACTCTCGTGAAACTGCAACAGTCTCAAAAGCATTCAAATAGACTCTGGTCTGCTTCAGTTGCACTCAAACAAAAACACAAAGTTCAAAGTACATCCTTTGTTCGAGCCACAGTCAAAGACAAACGGACACACAGGTGACAGGGTGCTGTGATCGTCGTTTCTAAGACAGGCGTGTCCTGTTCATATAAATAAGATTAAGAAAAAAGAAGAAGTGAGTAATCGATTTCGGGTGACTCGTACCGAACGGCCAATTACTTGTGTTGACGTTATAAATACAAGTCCTTTTTTCATGTTTTAAGTTCATACCAGTAACGACCCATGCTTTCCGTAAGAGGCGACTATGATTGTCGTAAGAGGCGACTAACGGGATCGGGTAGTCAGGCTCGCTGACTTGGTTGATGAATGATATCGTATCCCAATTGCGTGGATCGATGCTCATGATGTCAATCACTGGATTATCTAGTCCAGGCTCGATTATTTACAGACCTCCGTCACATAGATGAAATATTGCTGAGTGCGACGTTAAATAACAAACAAACAAACTGTTCCAAGCAGCGTTCGAACCAATTCCAACGAGTATGGGTCCCCAGTACTCTGCAAACAGATGTAAACATGCTATTTTAAACGTGTTATTGGTTTGGGTAAATTTGCAGCAAACAATGCTATTCTGTGTGAAATGGGACTTCATCGTATGTTTATTACTACGCGAAAAAGGGTAATTAAGTACTGGATTAAGCATTTGTGAATGAACGCAAATCGATACCCCACATGTGACTTAAATATAATTTATCTGACAACTGTACTGTGGGCCATGTGGCCTGAAT